GATCCTCTTGGATAAAGTAGAGTTTAAATTATTTCATTGCTCAGAATTAAAAAAACCCTAACAACTTCATTAGGTTACTACTAAGCATGTTATGAGACAGGAAAATAAATGTAAGATACATGGCAAGTACTACTATATACAAAACTTTTTTCCTCTAGGATTACGAAACATAAAAAATGCCATTTTTGTAGTGAAGTTTGAGATTTCTCTTTTCTTTTTTTTTTTTTTTTTTAATTCGTGTCATTAAATCATTAACTTACAAAAGTGTTGTTTCAAAGGAGGAAATTAAATTATTATTTTAAACAGAGTTCTTTCATCATTGGGGTTCAAAGAACCGGCCCAAGAACCTTTATGTTGGTGCCTTCAATTTTGTTCTATATCTAATGCCACCAAAACAAAACTCTAGCTTTTCACATGTCCAGCTTTAGACTCAATATACATTGCTTTGAAAAAGAAATTAGTGAAATCAAAGGAGTTACACCAATGCAAAACAACACTAGGGCAAAGGAACGCCTAAGTGATTTTACTTTCTGTTGGAAATCATGTCAGAATATAGAGATAGAACTTATAATACTCAGATATTACTTGCATTCTGTGTATGCAGGGAGAGGAAGAAAAGGGGTAGAGGAGTGCCAAAAAGGTTTGGCTCTGCTCATTAATTTGTGTCTTTGTTAGACATTTTGCTGAATTATTTTGTAGCACATCTTCTGCAAATGTGCTACAAAAATTGAGTTTCCAGATAAAATTCATTATACTACATATTGGGGATTTTTCAAATAATATTATCTCTTTCAGCTTTTTCTATTCATCAGAATCTCTTTATTCTAAGTTCTGTGTAAGCAGAACAAAAAGACAAATTAGTAATCCTCTGGCAAGGTGCCACATGACCAGTCTGAATTGCTCTACTGGCAGTTCCTGGCCCTGAGGTGGATTTATCTGGCAATTATACAAAGCGGATCTTCCAGCACTATAGCTGGATTAATTAGACTAAATTATCTGTGACATAACTGATAACTAACTTCAGTAATGTTGTTATGAGATTGGAGTCTATACTTTCAAAAAGATAGTACAAATTTTCTGCTTTGGAAAATACTTCTGAAATGGAAGCATATTGAAATCCACAGCGAGACATTAAGGTACAACATGAAATTAAGATCCAAGATAATGACCAGATTGGCAAGTCATATGCATCTTTTGTCCTAAAATCCTTTGTAGTACATTGTGTTTAATGAAAGCAAACATTTTATATAGTCATTTATAAATTTACGTGTTTAGTTCATGTACTACGTATTCTTAAAACATTTAACATGGTCTACTAAAGAGAAATGTAAAGCAAATAAAGCTGAAAATATAATTCTGGTTTCAAGAGCAACATTCTAAATATTGAAAATTGCTTATGTTTTAGAAATGAAGCTGTTGTTACCATTTGGAATTCTGGATAAATGCCACTGTCATTTTCACCCAATAAAATATAGAATAACACAAAAATGCAGATGCTACACAGATATTTAGAAAATGCTACAGACATCAGAGCTGAACAATTAGCAAAGGAGGAAAGGAGCAAACTACTGTAAAGGCAATGTAGTGATAACAGTTTGATTATACTCCCATGGGGATCTTGTACAAATGCTTGAATCTTATAAGTCACTGATGCTTTGCCTCAAGGATTAATGTTAAAGTATCTCTCACTACTAAAGCAAGGTCTGTTTTGGGCTCAAAGTTTTGCCATGAATTGCTCCAAACTTCCCTTGTTTAATGAGGAGAAGCTGAATAATTCAGAACAAAACCAGGAAAATTAATGTAAGACTGAACTAAATGTTATTCATGTCTAGATATTATTGTAATGGATAAATTCAGCCAGCAAATTATTTCTAAAAAAGTAAAATCTTTTCAAGATGTCATATCTTTTTGGGTTGGTTTTTTTTTCTCTATATGTTGATTAAAATGCCTCTGATCAGAGTTAGTCAACCATTTGTCACTACTATTCTTTGTCAATGATTAATTATCCATCTTTTAAGTTAAAGCAATTCATAATTATAAACTTGGGGTTTAGCCTTGTTCTGATGATTTATCTTTGAAAATAAAGGTTACAGGCCTAAGAGACCTCCTCCTCTATGTTATGCTAAAAGTTTTTGAAAGCCAGTTCACGTGCCCTTCAAATACCTTTCAGCAGAAGAGGATGCTTTGTTAATCAACTGTCATCTTAAAGTATTCAGGCTAGCAGAAAATTGATGGGCAAAATCAATTTCAGTTTTCATGTTTTCTTTGTTGACTTATTCTGGTTTATTTAAGGAAAACATTCTGTTTCAAAACAAGCATTTCAAATGAATATTTTCATTCTTCTCTTCCTCTAGCCCATTTCCCACTGTGTCCAGAAGTAAGACAAATAAAATAAGTTATGAGAGTGCAGGAAAAATCCCACCACTTCCTCCATTTGCAGTGCCCTGAAGAACTAGGGCTTTTGTAGGTAAAATAGTTTTCCATCATAGTAAGTACAGGGTGGATTCTTCAGTGCCGTGGTCAATTCTCAGTCCTTGTCATCTAAGGACTCTTTCTAAAAACAGCTGGATTTCCTCACCCCAGTAGTTTTAAGCTGATAACTTCCTCAAAGTAAAGAAAAACATGTTAGCTTATTTGGCTAATGGAATTTGAGAGTCATTTTGGACTCATGACAGTGGGTCTTCATGAGATCCAAATTTTTGAAAATAAAAAAATATTTTCCTGGTATTATGATATCCCCTTATTTGAACCTATATGCAATACAGCTGAGGCTGTTGTGACTAGCAAGTACCAAGCAATAAATAATGGTGCTTTGATTAGTTTAATTGCTTATGACTCAGTTTAATCAGCCCAGTATTGTTCACAATAGAGTCATACTCACTTTTTTATGGAAGCTGCAAGTAATGGTTAAACTCATGCTCTTCTAGCGCACATGTCCCTTATTTGGTTTCTCAAGCAGCATTTGTGACCCAATCTCTGCTTCCAAAATTTTGTGCCATTTTTCAAAGAATGCACAAAAACACTGAGCTTGATGAGTCTATTTACTTGGAAGGAAAACCATGTTCTCCTGGGAATATCTTGTTCTTGGCTTTCCCAAGTGTGTTCCCTCTTTTGATTTCATTTTATGAGAGCTTACAAAGGGGCTGTCATGTTCTTTCTCCAGTGATTCTGCATTCATGCAACAGAGGAAAGATCCTTACCATCTTATACTAGATGACAACCCAGGTCTTGCTTACTCCTTTAAAAAAGGAAAGCAGTGGTAAATTAGTCTTGTATTTTAAAGACTAACAGAAAACAATTTATCCACTTTCTTCAAGTTAGAGGAAAGATCACAGATGTCTGACTTAGCAATAAATGCCTTGAAGCAGCAGGTCTGGGCAGCCTTAGAAGGTGTACGATATGAATTCTTGTTTTCTTTTTGAGAATTGGGGGATGAAAGTGCACCTGCATCTTGATATGCACATGGAACAGAGGCAAAACCTATGGATTAACAAAAGGGGTACAAAATACCAGTTTTCTTATTCTGGACTTAACACTAATGTGGAACATCCAGTGCCATTACATGATGAAATAATCATTAATCAACATTTTTTAAAGATATTCTCTCAGGACATTTGGCTGCTAAAAAATAATGGAAATGAAACAAGATGCTAGAAGACTGGTTCAATTTTTCATAGTGGAAAATCTGTAACAGGTAGAAAAGTTGACACTTTTAATACTGCATCACAAAGATAGTGTAATAGATCTTTATCTTGGCATGATAGACTCCAGTGTCAATAAAGTTTGTATTTGCAAAATAAAAAGCGTAGTTATTTGTTGCTCTTGCTGCAGTGCTATCTGTATCCATTTTCCTCACATAAAAGACACAGTTTTAATTTCCTTAATCAAAAAAAAAGAGTTGTTTGAATATTATCTAGCATTTTACAATGGCTTTTATTGTCTTATCTCCTTCTACCTTTGTCAGCTTTGCCAAATATTTCCTCTGAGGGTTGGGGGGTTTTCCATTCATAAATCTCCTGCAATCCGCAGGGTCCAAACTTCTGTCTTTTTCTGCATAAACAAAGTGATATTAACAAGTCAATGGACAAAGACCAGTGCTTTCAACTAGGATGAAGTTGTTAAGTGTTGATGTCTTGTTATCTTCTTTCCCAGGCAGATATTTACATGCCAGGGTAATCTGACATAGCACAAAATGAGTAACACAGAGATTCAGAATAGATACCATCAAGGTTATAAAATTCAAAACATTACACACAAATTCAAAACATTACACACAGTAAAGGATTATGTACTCTTTCACTAAGAATTTCTAAACTTCAGACTGATAAATTCTGATAAATTTAGACTTTCGACTGATAGATTCTGAACAATAATCTCCAAATTTTTTAGACCAGGCTGACAACTCTTCCATAAGGATTCATAATGGCAACTTTATGTCTTCTTACTTCAGAAAATTATGTCACAGATTTGATCTTACTTTTCTTGTTCTTTGATCCTTGATCAGTTTACATCTAGTAATTGCTTTAAAACTGGGATACATTTAAAAGCATAGAATTCTGACTTTGTATAAAGGGCTTATACATCTGGGTCTAAAATTGCAGCACAAATTAATATAATCTGTATCTGCATAGTTTATCTGGTCTATTGCTACAATAAATTAATTTCTAGTGCAAAGTGAAATAATCCTTTTAAATAGTGGCCTTAGGCCAGTTGTCTTCTATGATTAGCATTTCCATCTTATTACTAGGACACATGGGGAGGAATTACCTGGTTTCTTTATATCAAAGCAAATTTTAATTAGTTGATGATATGAATGTTTTTTGCCAAGAAGTTAACAAGTACTTAATATACTATTGTAATTGAATGTTCAATGAACTAATATGTTTTTATCACTTGATATTAACATTCAAATGCAAATGAGTATTTATAAAAGCATTATCTCAAAGATCTTTAAACATTAAGAGCACATCTGAAAGCGTGTTCTTTCTGTTTCTATTTAGTCATCTGTGACTCTTTGGAAGATCATGTTTCTGGAGTTGGGATCAGGTGCCCCCTGGGCTACTTTCCATGTGGCAATATCTCCAAGTGCTTGCCCCAACAACTTCACTGTAATGGTGAGGATGACTGCGGGAATCGGGCTGATGAAGACAACTGTGGTACGTGGTTGAGACTTTTCTTTTTGTTTAGCACCTACAGTCACTGAAACCCATGTAGTGCTCACACTAAAACAGAGAGTTGCAGTGTTAGGAATAGGGAAGTTAAATGTTTTGCAGAGGATGCAACAGATCTTTGGTTTAGCTAATAAAGCCACACAACAAGCCCTTTGCTAGGAAAGAATGATGAACCACATTTTTGTTTGTGTATAGTATCAGTTTATCCAATTTTATCCCTCCTTTGAACTTGTTTGCATGTGTCATTTTGATGTGTACAAATGGATGTATGTAACATGGCTAAGATCTCTGCTGAGGAGTGGTAGATGTATGTGCTAACAGAGTTTATAAGAAGCTTAATGAATTTCATGTGGGAAACAAGAATTTTCAAGATTTTTCAGAAAACATCCATGTCCTAATTTGGGAGAAAACAGTGACTGTGTAAGTATGCTGTGCAAGGTGCACTGCTACCAAGCTTTGGGGTTTGGAAATGTCAAAATCTCAGGGAATACACATAGACAGGTCACTGCTCCCTGCTGTTTTGATCTTTGTCACCTCTGGCCCTGACGGATGGTAGCCATGAACTTGGCTTTATTTGTAACCTTTACCCCTAAATGCAAACTGAGTAGGGCCAGCGCATGGGCTTTGCGCTGGCACTTGCCTGTCCACCCTGCTGATCTGTGAGCATGGCCTCAGCACAGCTGTACTCTGTGCTGGGCAGTGTGTCTCACGCACTGCATGGACACAGCTCAGAGGGTGGCATTGACCTGGGATAGTCTGGGAAAGGCCTCCCTATATTTTATGAGAAGACAGCTCAGCCATTTGGTGGTGAGCTTGACTGCAGGGAGAGAAATTTGGTCCTAGCATGTTTTATTTAGTGGTATTGTCAGTTTACTAACAGCCTGGTTAGTTTCAAAGATACTGTCCAGAGCTGCCGATCCATGGCAGATGGGGAAACTAGACTTCCTATTCCTCAGCAGCTTGCCTGTGGCCATGGAGGGCAGCCAGATTCGTGATGCTGTTCCTCACACACTGCCTCCAGCTCCCTGGAGCCAAGCAGGTGAACTCTTTGCCTTTCACAGCTAGGCATGCTGAAACCTCCACCTATGCTGTGTATAACAAAAGAAATTTTCTGAAAGAAGTTTCAAACAAAATATTGTAAAGGCATCTTTCACAAGTGTTCTCAACGAAGTCAATGAGGTTTTGAAAATGGTTGTTCTCGTTGTATGTCTGTGAAGCTCATTTTGTACCTATGTGTAGTATCTTTTTCTTATATCCATCAAATTTCAGCATCTTATTCTATATAAAAGCCACTTTTAATTCTAATCCTATCATACGGACCTTCAGCTTTTTCTAGTTTTATGTCTTTGCTGATGCCACAAACATACTTTCCATTGCCAGTAATCAAAATCCTGAACCAACCTGGCTCTTGTATTCTTCTGTAATTGTCTTGCCCTACAGCGGCAGAAACTGCTGACAGTGGTGCCCTCTTCTGTTTTAAAGTCCAAGCACTGTAAATGGGGTTTTTTATGCATCTTTCATTTCTGTATAGTACCAGAAAGTCTATTGTACAAGGACTTTCTGAAAGTGTACAGCTTGATCAGATGGCAATTAGGATATACACAGTTTTGTAATGGCATGTACAAGGCAGTATAGTCTGTAAGACAATTCATCTGCAATATTGAATCCTCTTCTGGGTATAGTAATTCAAGAATGAATTAGCCTTAAATTCTGAAAGCCTGAATTACAAAAGATGAAGAGTCATTGTATTAACTTACTGGGAATACCATGCCATCAGTGTTTTTCTCCTGTCTCGACCCGATATTCTCATTTAGAAATGCATGCCATGTATAACATATTAAGGTCATTTCAGCAGTAATGGTTTCTAAAAAACTTGTGTTGCAGTTTGAATAAAGGGCTGCTTCCTTGCCTGAGAATATGGAATGTCCTGATAAGATTTTCTCCAATGCCCCTGCACTGTAGTAAGCATGGGGATCTTTGTGGGATAGGTCTGTTTACCTCCCGAGACAAAGAAACTATTCAGCTATTCTTGTTTGCTGCAGTTTCCCAGGACCACTTTAGTATCCCAGCCTTATGCCAGTGCTTATATCTAGTTCCTTCCACCCTATTTTTTTTTTTTCAAATTTGCAACCAATTTTCAGTTTAAGTTGTTGCTCCCGGTTACAGAAAAGCAATTGAAAATTAAAATATTCCACTGTAGTAATTGTTTCATGCAGTATCATTGGAAATTTTAATCTATCCACAAGGTACTCAACTAAGTAGCTCAACTGTTAAATTCTTGCACACTTTCATCTTGCATGAAGAAAAGGAAACAAACACTTCTTTTAATAAACATAATGCTGCTGTTGGCAGGGAGGAAACAACAACAAAAAAACCACCAGGTACTCTAAACATAAGAAAATCTGAAGTCCAACCGCTCAATACAAGCCCTTTAGCATGCTGAACATTAACAGCAACTGCAATGACTGAAATAACCCTTTTAAGAAACATCGGTGAATGAAACAAGCAGAGAAACAATCAGTGTAAAAAGCACATGTAGCTCTTCTAAGGGAATTACTGTATAAAAGTCTTTAAATGCCCTTGAAACAAAAAGTAAATGGCATCAGTGTAAAAGAAACCAACATGACAGGAGCCTCTCAGTATATTTGTAACCAGTCACTCCATCTTGTAGCAATTCTGTCCCTTTCCTTTTTTAATAAGTAAATTTCTCTCATTCCCCACTTCTTTCCTATAGAGAGATGTATCTTTGAGGCTATTAACAGTATTAGTCCTGTTTAATACACTGCATGCCTGGTAACAGCAAAACATGATTAGAAGTATTTCAAACTAAGCTGAATCCTCACTGAAAGTTGTGTTTTCAGATGTGCTGTGATCACTGTTCATATCCAACCCAGGCATGTAGAGATTGGCTTCATGGTGCCTTCAAATCTGCTTCTTTTTTCACTTCCACCATGTTGGGTTTCCAAAATCAATAAAATACTGTGTGTGATATCCTGATGAGGAAGAGCTTGACGCAATGTAGTAAACTGCAATAAGAGGAGAAGGCTAGTAATTTATCATGCCCAAAGTGATGGGAAGCTCTTTCTGAGCTATCACTATGTAACCTTAAATGTGCATGGAAAAATGCAATCTTACTTTTCGAACTTGAAAACATAGCCCATCAAGAGTAGTGGGTGCCTCTGTAAATTTGTCATGAATATGAAATTTTTAAATAAAAATTATTTATTTAAAGTTTCATACTTTGTAATAAAAGCTTATGGGCTTGAGGATTTTCCTTTTTTAGGTTTGAGTGTGGCAGTAAATTTCTCCCTGCTGGTCTGCCCCATAGTCACCCTTTCTGAAGCACCAAGTTCTCAAAAACACTGAGTGTATTGTTAAACAGTTCAGCCTGTATCACATATTTCACTTGAAGGGTGTTTTTTTTTTAATCTGTTACCAAAAATCAAAATGTATGGGGGGAAAAAAAAGTATAAACATATAGAAATTCCAGCATCCTTCTGTATCTCAGCTCAGTCCTATTGAACATTATGTTTGATTTTAAACATAATGGTTTCAGGCTAATTTTCTAAGGAAGAGCTTTTCCTCTTTATTTACAGCTGTAAGACTTGATTCGGTAGGTACTTGATGTTTATAGATGGGAAGTTAGAACATTTGTTTACTTCATTGCTTTTTTAGACCCAAGCAGGAAGGATAAATACTAGGCATAATCATGAATTCTGCTCACCTAACGCTATGGCAATGTTGACATGGGAATAGTTCCTAAAACAAGTAGAGTATTTCTTACATCGAAGACACTACTGATGCAATGTTAATGTATTCTAAAAACTCTCTAGGCAAAGCCCTTTGATGCTCAATGGCATAGTAAAAGTGCCAAGCACATATTCCCAAGTCCATATTCACGAATAGAAGCTTTTTGGAATCTCCGCTTTGACAATGATGCTTAATGATAAGCAAAACTAAAACTAACAGTAGATAACAACAACACTTGATGAATGCAAAACAAAAATTACAGAACAGCAGCATTTATGATGTAGCTTTGCACTGAGTCCACATGTGGTTTGTTATCTTAAAGTGTGTGTTTGTTTAGATGGTGAAACTCTGACACAGAAAGAATAGCAAAAACATATGAAAAGTTAAATCATACCAAAATGTACTCACAAATTTGGACAGAAGACAAACAGAATAGGCAGTAATCATCTATTTTTCAAAATACCAACTCTCTGAGTATCTTTAGACAAAAATATTCCTTAATCTGCTCCCTAATTAAGTATTTAAATTTTAAAACTTACACAGAAGCATTTTTTTTCTTTTTTTTTTTTTTTAAATTCTCTGATATGCCAACTATATTTACAGGGCTGAACTTCTATCTTAGATAAGGGTGAACTTTCTTTGAACAGTATTTTCCTAGTATTATATGCAGTGATCAAAGTGTAATGTTACCAGCCTAACAACATTTGTGTAATTACCTGTTTTAGATACATCACTGAGTCAGTTATTATTTCACAGTCATGTTATGCTAATTACAAAGTTCTGTAAAAATTCAAATGCAGTTAAATTTTAAACCACTGAGAGACTGAATATTTGTTTTTCTTGTGTGATATTCTAAGATCTTTGTTGCAATTGTCCCTAATATTCCAGCCATTCTGTTGGACAATCAACGTGATTTGTTCATCATAACTGTAAATTAGCTGAGATGTTGATATGATGACAGTAAGAGAAGCCTTCCAGTAAATTGCAGTGTAGCTTACCTCGTTTTACATTCCAAAACCACCCATCAGCTCTTGAATTTAGTTTGATACAAAGTTGTAAGTGGAAAAATATAGAAACAATCAGATCCCGAAAGTCACTGAGCTTTTTGCCTTTCAGAAGGAAGTCTGGACTTTACATCCTACCTGGACCCTTTGAGAGCATATTTTATTATGTGTCTTGAAGTCTAAGATTAAGCCCTACTGCTTTGTCTCTAATATATTTAGCACTATGTGTCA